CTTCGTGAGTTGTCGTCAGCCACAAATTCAAAGGTAAGTTTTATAAAAAAAAACCCTAATTTCTTTGTAAACTGAAAATAGAACGTGAGTTTATTAGNCTTTTCACCTTCTTTTATTTTATTCTTTTTAAAAATGAGTTAAATACACATATACATACATTGGGGACACCAATTTTAGATCTATAAAGTTTCTGAAACGTCCCCATATATTAACTCCACATCCCCGATATTAGCTCACGTCCCCGGTTTAGTGGAAACGTCCCCGAAACGTCCCCATGCAGTCCCCGAACTGATCCCGTCCCCGAAACGTTCCCGGTACGGGTACGGTGACAAAATTGACGTCCCCGTGCTTCCTAGATTATATACCTATTGGGTTACTACACTGTTTCATTTTTATTTTATTTTATCGTTAACATTTTACAAATAATTTAAAAAAAAAACTAGAAACCTATTTAAGTAACAAAGTTTTAGTTATAATGTAAACAATTAATATAAATTATATGAAAAATGGAAAAACGTAAATTACATGATTTATTATGTATTCTTTTATACAATTAAAAAACTGAAGTATATCATTGTGATTTTGTGATTTTGTGGCTTGGATGTGGTGTTCGACTCGTGGCTTCCGTCATTGTCCTTTCTTCCCCGTCCTCCCGAGTGCTGGTAGAGTTTGGTTAGTGCTGTTTTGATTGACAGTTCATCTGGCTCTTGTTCTTTGGCGAAGGGTAGGCATCAAAATGGTTCTTTGGGAAGTTTGGTCTCTTCGATGTGGTGTTATGGTTGGCGTTCGGTCTTGATCCTTGTGGGAGTCGAAACTAGCACAATTATATTTGTAAGGGTTTCGTGAGGAAACGGAGATCTCTAGATTAAGCTACGAACAAAACGATGAGCAAAGAGAAACGTTTGTTATTTCTGTATATGCTTTTGTGAATAAAGTTGCGGATCCTCTTTACAAGGGTTTGTACATTGATATATATATATAGCTCCCTAAGTCGGTGAGACATATTTCCTAAAGATAATCTTCACTTTCCTAAATCTTCGCGGATTTCTTTTTCCTTACGTCGGTTGTGTCAAAGTGGGCTTCGCCATTGGACCGGGCTTTAGCGCAGGGAACCTTCTGGCCTTTGTCGTTACTCTGGCAGGTCTTCGGTGGCCAGTGTCATCGTTGGCACTGTGTCATCGCTGGTAGTGTGACATCGCTG